TCCTCCTCCCTCCAGGCAAACACAGTGTGAATGAGTCCATAGCTTTCCACAGGACCAAAGCCACGCACCACAAGCATCTGGCACCCCCAGGAGAAATACCTTGTGCTTACCTGGTATAAAGGATCCTTTTGGGTGATGAGGGGTTAAACACCTACAGCTGCATTCCCAACAGCGCAATGCTCAGCTGAGGTGACCAGGGCCCTGCTGAGAAAGGCCAAGAGCACCAAACGCTGAGTGCGAGTTCCTGCATCTGCAGGACACGCTTCAGGCTCCGGAGGGGGCTGCATGCAGAGAGCTGCTGTGTACCCCTCAGCAGAGCTCAGGAGCCCCGGCTGTGCTGAACCTCCTGACACTCTGGGGACATTTCCCCAAGCCCTGGGCTGTTTCTTGTGAAACGTTTCTTGTTTCTGTTCCTTCATGTCAGCTCCCTCTGACATGGAGGAGGTTTTCAAAGCCCTCAGAGTCAAAATGTGACTGTTCCCTTGTTTGAACACATCGGACAGCAAAACCCAGCATCTCCCTTACTGCCCATTCGGCTGTTGCAGCGCGGGTGCAGCGAGCCTCTGCCCTGCATGGCCGAGGGGAAAGGAACCAGAGGGGAAAGTACTTGACACAGGTCCCAGACTGGTGAGCTCAAGTGACCATGCCACCAGCAGACACTGGTGTTGTGCAGGTTTCACTCTCTTTCCTTCCTGATGTTGGCTGTTTGGGTACGTGTCTGCGCAGTGCTGGTGGGGCCCATTTCCCCCCAGCCCAGCAGTTAGAGAAGTCCTGATCAAACAACCCGATGTGTTTCTCCAGCCTTTTCCTGCACTGTCAGAGTGGACGATGAAGGATGGTGCCTCTCAGACTGTCTGACACAGAAAGTGCCAGTTATCCCGTGCCAGGGTCTGGCATCTCCCTTTTGCAGATAGCCCCAAGCCCCAGGGTTTCCAGAAGTGACGTTTTCAATGCCCTTGTAACTCTACAGCAACGCCTAAAGAAACAGGCACGTGTGACTCCCGGATCAGGAGGCTTGTTTGCAAGGGAAGGTCTCAAGTAAACTTGTCACTGTGCTAGTGGAATCGTGACCCAATTTTGTTTGAGAGACTTTTTGCAACACAGCAGGGCAAAACACTGACGTCAACAGTATTATAGCGAATCATCACACACTTTCTGAAGGTCTCAGTGCAGGTATGCAGTCCTCCCATCCCTCAAATGCTGGGTATTTGTGACAGCTGGATAATGAAAACAAATACGTCTGTTCCGTTCTCTTTACTAGTTTGCATTTCAGTAGTAGTAAAAATGCAACAGAAGCTCCTTGTGGGCTCCACATCCTGCTTTGGGACAGCCAATTCCCATCCAAGCCTCCTATCTCAAACCAGCCCTCCTGCCCATCCTCTTGGGCCACGGGTTCATACTCCACACTTCTGGAAATGAACACCTTCCTGGTGCGAGGACCTAGGTCTTCCCCAAACCTTAATACTCTGGGGTGACTCCAAACCTGAGGCACTGTTGTGAGATGGATGCTCAACGCAGGGGGCTGTGCCACTCTCTCCACCCATGTCAAGAGTTAACCTGCAGCTTCACCTTTGAAAAGATGGGTAAAAAGCATTAGGGAATGAAGCAAGGAAGCGGCAAGTTGGAGACAGCACAGGGAGACACCACCACCTCCCCATCCCTCCGCTAACCTGATGTTTCAGGCCAGCTCTGTGTGGGGAGGAGCGGAGGCAGGAGGAGGAAGAGGAAAATGCCAACAAGGAGCAAAGTTCAGCTGGCCTGCAGGATGTTACCATGCCAAAGGCAGGAAGAGCAGGGAAATTCCCAACTTGGGAATAGTCACAACTAAATTGCGGTAGAAGGAGCAAAGGGCTGGGCACACTGATTACACCCTGCCACAGCCAAGTGCTAACTCATCTATTTCGTAAGTGATCGGTCGCCATCACTTCCTTGTCACGTAAACTCATCCCATTTGATCCTACACCTCATGACAGGCCCACACGTACTTCGGGTGCAAGTTTCCCATCAGTCTTACAGGAGGAGGGGAGATTTCTGTGGCTGGGGGGCGGGGGAAAGGCAAGAAAGTGACTTTCTGCAGGTTTCCTCCCTCAGAAATCCTGTTCCCAGCCCCTGAGCCCACCCCAAGATCACTCACAGAGCCCTGCTTCATCCATCAGACACGCTCGGCTTGGGGCAGAGCTGGCTGGCTGCTTTGCTTTTAACCTGTCCCTGATTGGTGGTGAGGGACCAGATCCCACCAGAGAAAGTGCTGTGGGCAATTGTAACCTCTGTCAATGAAGGTCCAGGAGGCTGGAGGGAGGAAAGCGGCAGCAGTTACTGCCTGGGTAGGTCTCTCTGATTCTGAACCTGGTTCCCTTCTCTACCAGAAAGAACCACCCTGCCAGGACTTAGGAAGATGCGGATGCTTCAGCTTCGCTGCAATTGCCCGGCCTCCAGAGCTGGACACACGATCCAGATGAATCTTTGGCTCACCTGTGAAATGTGTTTCATTTATAGAAAAGCGCATATAAATGCAGCTAAGGCAGCTCCGACAAGCTAAAACCAAGGATTTCTCTCTTTTGACACCTGCATGTGGCTCTTGAATGCACCGTGAAGATCTCACGTCTATACACATTCATCCAAGAAGAAAACTATGCTGCAGAAACCTACTTATTTTACAGAGAAAATGACTGGTAGCACTGTGAATCACCACACTGAGCTGGGAGGATGCTCACTTCTGTGATCATTGGGGTTAAGAGAACCCTGACCCAACGCCTGGGCAGGAATATCAGCACCAGAGCACTTTCCTGCTGGTTGCTACATTAAGGAACTGCACCAAGAGAAAGGCACCGTTTCCGAGGGGCTTGACTACCGGGAAATATGGGGGTCAAAGTGAATGTGCATCTTCCAAGTACTGCGATCATCCCCAATTCAAACTCAGTTCAGCCTTAGGAAGAGCAACTGCGATGCTGTCTGCACAGACAAGCTCTGTGCGTTGTCCTCTAGCAAAGATGTCTCAAAGCAAGTTAGAACAAACCCACAAGAAGAGCCACGTCCATTTTGTAACCTATAATTTTTAAATATAACATTTTATTGCTTAGATGGTTTGATACAGAACAAGTTTTACTTTTTATTTTGAATTTGGAAGTACTGTACAACTGAATAAAAAGAGGAATAAAAGTACCAAAACAAATGTGTGATTCTCTGTTCATGTGGCATAAACCAGTCTTGTACACAATTCGTAGCAGCAGTTTAAGTTCCCTTTAGAAAAATATGAATTCTACACATTTATTACTGTTTCCTGCATGGGACGAAATCACTAGGATTGAACTTCCTTCGTGGAGAGAGAGAGAGGAGAGAGAAAGGAGACACACAGAGAGGAGAGAGAAGATGACGAATCATTCTGCAAATGGAATCACTGTCACGTAGCCCCGACAGTTGTTTCACAACAGCCTCAAACAAAGTTCTCTGGTTTTTTTTTGTCTTTTTCCTTTGTTTATTTTTTTTTAATCTTTTTTTTTTTGCGCTTTCACAGTCAAGTGCTCAATGTAGTGATTGAATCTCTCAATGTCAACGAGTCCATTGCAACTCAGGCAAAAGAATTTCAGAAGATCCTTTTTTTTTGTTTATTTCTTTTCTCTTTTTTGTTATTTGTAAAAGCCCTGAGAGAGGAAAAAAAAAACAAAACCCAAAAAACAAAACAAACCCCCCAAATAAAAAGATTCAAACAAAAATCGTATAGAGACAAATTAGCTGAACATGCAAACTAAAGCCTACGATTCACCCATAGTTTAAACACATTATAAATTTCACAGTTTAATATTGGGGGAGGAGGGGAAACAAAAAAAAACCCCAACAACAGCAACGGTTCTCAGTCAAACTCAACTAATAAAAATGTCAATAAAATGTGGCAAGACCTTATACTCTACTAGGATATAGATAAAGGCTATATAAAGCTTTAAATCAATAGTGATTATTGCTAGCAGATGTCCCGGCAGGCTGCTGGGAATTAATTACTTGCTACATCGTTCTGCAGCATATAGTTTAGTAATGGCTTCTCCCCCACAGTATTGCGCAGTTTAGTGTGGAGAGTTGCAAAACAAACCCCAAAACAAAACAAAAAACAAACCCCAAACAAAAAATAGACAAAAACAAAAAAAAAATACCCAAAATAATAATAATAATAATTATAATTATAATAGTAATAACAATTCAAGGGATGTGTGAACTGGTTTTAATTAAGTAGAATGCACCTGGGTAGAGTTTCAAATGAATCATTGGTTGTGACTGATTTATCGTTATGTGGCGTTAGCTTCGTTTCTGAACTGGTTCAAACATCCCTATTAAAAACAAGAACCAAAAAACAAAACAACAACAAAAAAATAGAAATCACATCATATACCTCAACCATTTGCTGTATTTTTTTTTTTTTTCTATTTGCAAGAATATTACTCGAGAACGTTTCTCTTCCTTTGCATTCTGGACAGTGAGATTTCAGTCCCAGAATTTTTCAGAGAATTCTTTAATATATAGTTATATATAGATATATATATATTATATAATATAGACTGGGTCCAAGGCCCACTTCCTCCATGTCTTGTGAGAGCAGGAAAAGCGATTCTGCAGGGGTGGGGGGGAAGGAGAGGGGGGGTCACAGTGTGGGCTGGGATGGGCTGGGCTGGGGGTCTGCAGTGGTGGAATAGCACAGTGAGGCTCCGGCAATGCTATTATGGCTCTGTCTGTCCCAGAGGTCATGACTGAAGGACAATCAACAAACAACAACAAGGACAACAACAACAACAAGGACAACAACAACAAATGCTGGGCACTCCTAGAAATGCACAGCTACAGTAGGATACATTTCACTTAACCCCTTCAACAGTGGTGGCCGGAGTGTCGCCTGTTGCCGGCAACAGGAGCCACAGAGAGAAGAACTTCCAGCTGCCAGCATCGAAGGGGTTAAATTATTGATATGAAATTTAGACACACACCTCAAGTCTTCAAGCATCAACCCCAAAATCTCAGGAAGAATTTATTTTTTATTAATTTATTTTATTTATTCTTTAACATGTCTTAAATCTGTAGTTTTATTACCAGTAGTATTTTCTTGCTCTAGAACATGACAGTAGCAAGATGACGGTAAGGCTCGCATTTCTCCCTGGCTTGCTTTCGGCTGGAAGACGGGATAACTTTGCTCTTTGAGTAACGCGCGCTGTCACCGGTGTGATGGCCACAAGACTAACCTCAGCACTCGCAGCACCTTTCTCATGCACTTGGAGGGGCCTCCCCCTGACACACACGCACACATGCACGCACACGAGTGAGATGCTCCCCTGCCTGTACGGGTGTGCTGATACCTCGCAAACGGCCTCTGTTTGACTCTCCGGCCAGAAGAAGGGTCTCATTTAAAGTACAGTAGAAGAGCTGCAACATAAGAAGAGGAGCTGGTGAAAGCGTCGAGTCTAAAACATTTCCAGAGGGGATCCAAGCGGCGCTATATGTCTGCGGGGGGCAAATATTGCCCATTGGTTTCTGCTGACTGCAGAGACAAGCGAACTGATGGATTTATAAAATAACAATAAAATAATAATAATAATATACTGAAGCAAATCAAACATATATAACAGCGGGTGCATCATTTCCATAGGTTACGTTGCTATGTAACTCTTCTCTGCATACACGCTCAGTCCATGACGGCCAGAAAAACCCCCTAAGATTCAGAAGACCATTTCTAATGCTGAAAAGTGGAAACAAGCGTGAGGTTGAAATTTCTTTGTGTTTCCTGCTTTTTGGCTTGAACCACTTTGAACACCTTCAACTGCCACGTCGTTCAGGCCTGGAACAGGCTTAATGCTCCACCGTGTGGCAAATGCAAGAACATCTACTGAGAAAAAACAAACACCTCACCTGCCATTTCCTCTGACTATTTCATATGAAATTCACATATTTTTTCTTCCAGTTATTGGCTGTGGTATCCAAGGGCCTCCCACCCCACTGCCCCCATTTCCAGCTCAGAGAACAAACACAGCGACTATCACAGATATACAAGAACAAGCTCACGCACACCAATACAAAAGGTAACATTAATGCTTAAATGAAAAAGGTCCTCTCCAAATAATTCATTAAAATATTAAAAAAAAATCATTTTTGAAAAAAATCTATAATACCAAAAGATCTAATAAAGTAGTAAGGCACTCAAATCAGTATATACTGTAGTCTCTTGCATTATTATACTGAAAGGCATATGGCACCGCATCCAGTCTGCCATACTCTCCCCACAGCTGTAGGTCGCTCTTCCGAAACAGGACTCCAGGGAAACCTTGCTCTGCTGGCTTCAGCTTGTGTGCCAGGACGGCTCCAACCTCTGAGCAAAGTCATTCAACCCCCAAGAGCTGAGGCGCACTGTCTGCAGAGGCAAGGATGTGATTCATGGGAGACTTTTTGTTGTGCATCTCCAGCAAGTCTTGAATGAAACCCGAGGGCCTCTCGAGCTCCGAGCCGCCCCGAGGCTCCTGGTCTTTTGCGCTCTGTTTCTGTGCGCTCTTGGTGGGCTCCACCAGGCAGGTGCCGGCTCCTCGCCCGCTCAGCCTCTCCTCTCTGCAGGGGGAGAGGCCCGGGACCGTGCCAGCCAGGGACTCTTTTCGGCTTCCCATGAGGGACGATGATGTTTGGTCACCGATGCCCCCGGCAGAGTCGCACTCGTTTTCTGAGACAGGGTTGGCACCACTGTGGCTTGACTCGTTCTCGCTGTCTTCTCCACACCTTGACTGCGTCTCCTCCTTGTCGCTCTCCTTCCCATGGTTTCGGGTGGTTTTGACTTTCTGGTGTATGCGCTGGTGGCGAACCAGGCTGTGTTTCAGAGTGAAGGTCCGTTCACAGGTTTGACACTTGTAAGGTCTCTCACCTAGAAGACAATTAGAATACAAAGTCAGCACTAAGGTCACTAACACACCTCCCTCTTGTTTCAAGCAGCATGGACGCTCCTTGCTTCGGAAATTCAGTACCTATATCAAACATGGATGTTTGCCTTTATGCAGACTTTTTGCTTCTGTACTAGCAAACTAGCTGATGGCACGCAAGCAGGAATACAGATAAATCCTCCCAGGCACAAATCAAAAATCAGAACTTGTAAGTGTCTTGAGACTTCTGCAAGCTTGGTATGGCGCTGCACTGAGGAGGGAGAAAGACCGTAGGCCCCAGGTATACCCTGTCTAATTCAATCAGCAACTTTTCTGAAAGAAGCTTGCACTTTGTCCTGTGGAGCTCAAAAGCCTTTGGGAAAACAGCCCACCATGGGGTCTCCCTGCTGCAGGTCAGCCCTGACACACGTGGAGAGAGAGGACTGCACAGGTTAACTGTGGTCCGCAGCTCTTACAAACTGAACCAAACAGCACATGAGAAAGCATCTCCCCCCTTCTCAAACGCTGACACATGGGCAAGGATGAAATATGCAGATTAATCACTGACTTCAAGCTGTTAGGAACTACCCTTGCTACAACAGCTCCTCCTCTTTCTGTGAAGCAAAAGACAGTATCACCTCATTTCAGAATGGACACAGAGCAGCTGAAGGACCTAGACTTAGTATGGGTCACAGGAAGTGTCTGTTAGAGGGTGACCAAAATCTACTGTCCAAGTGAAAAATGCCTGCTTCTGGATGGTTTTACAGAGCTGCTGGTGTTGCCCAGCCCTCTGGTGCTGCAGGACAGGAGTGACTTGTAAAAGCCCCTGAAAAACCTCCTCATACCCGTTCCAGAAACACTACTTGCAGGACAAAATTCTCTCTCTTATTTTGGACTCTTAAGCTGCAGAGCCGCTGCAGGCATCCTCTGGTGTGACCAACTGATGGTCTGCTCTGGTCTCAGAGAAGCTTTTTACACCTGAGACACTTGAATGCTTCCTTAAGCAGGAGCTCATCAAAAACAAAGCAACCACAGCCCTGGAGACAAAATTCCCCCAAGTCCTAACCAAGCACAGTGCCCCAGGGTAGTGCCTGCCCTGAAGAATCAAAGATCCCATCATCCTGACCCATCCTCTATTTCTGAATGTGCCTATTAAAGACTTGCCAGTGCTGCAATTCCATCCAGACACCATCTTCTGCCTATGAGCGCATGGAATGAGACACTTGCAGCTCACTTCTCACTTGTAATAATGCTTGGGGTCATTAAAAGATAAATCTGTGCAAGTAGGTCCGCTGTCCCTGGGAAATGTTTCTCTTGGGTGCCTTGCTAGGAGAGCTGCTGTCAAGGGAGGGCACAGCTCCCCAGGAGCATTTTGGGCCAACAGCCTTTGCCCATAGCACTTGGCTATTGGGGATGCAGCGCTGTGGCTGGGCCTGCGCTTGGGCAGGCAGCACCAGAGCACCCCACAAATGCTTGCTGGGAAGCAGCCAGCACTGCGAGAATGAAATGCTCGCAGCCAATGGCTCCTACTGCCGTTCAGTAGGTGGGCAGAGGTTTCTTGCACACTTCAGCACGTCCCAAATGTTCCTCTTCTGAGTAAAGTAATTCTGAAACCTTATAGTTATCTTTAAATACCCCACACATTAAACCCAAAGTATAAGCAATGTAACAACTTGATGGTATTTTATCAATATCAATGAACAAGTGGGACAGAGAGGAGAAGTATGGAGGGAAGATCCCCAATTGAACCCACATTATGGAGGGAAGATTCTCAGTTGAAAATGTATTGGCTATAGGTGGTATTTATGTTTATTAAATTTGAAAAAAGTACTGTCCCAGGTTCCTTTTCAACACCTATTCTACATTAAGACATCCTTCAGTGTCAAATAAGAAAGAGAACCAAACAGGAAAAAAGCACACTGACAAGGCCTACACAGCTCAGCATGCAATGAAAACAATTCAAACATATGGTATTTGTTTGAATTATCATTTGGGCATTCATCATTTGGGCATAAAACTCAGTAGTTTAGATACTGTCATCTTCCCAGAGGTTCTGAATTAGTGTGAAAAATAGGCAGACGAATGGGACCTGTCCTATATTCACATGTGGCTCAACACCAGAAGAAAACAGGTCAGTTTTGCACTCAATAGGCCAGTATTTATGATTCAGAAGGGTAAAAGTCTGGTTTTTTTTCTACTCTTCGGTGTAGCTTACTAAGCATCTCAGTCAACTACCAGCACAAATATTTTGTTAATCACAGAGATGTTGTCTTCAGCAGAGAGCACCTTCGAAAGCTACAAAATGTCAAACTGCACCAGTTTTCCCATGTCAGAGCAGCTTGCTGACAGTAAAATGCATAATTAATAAGCATTCATTAATAAGGATGAATGATTAATTCACCTTTCAGCTGGCTCATAACTTCACCTTATTTGCATGGTACTGCTGCAAACCGTGTATCACATAAAGCAACGTCATGTATTTTAACTGAGTCAAAGTCATCAGACAAGTGGTTTACTACCTGTGCTCTACCTTCCCTGCCCAAGCCTGAAGAGCAGGGTGCCCACTGTTGCTTTGCTTTTCACTCAAGCAGCAGGTCATGCAGATGACCAGCACATTAATACATTGCCCATACCAGGCTTACATAATCAGACAAAACCAGACTCTCTCTCTCTCAACTTTCCCTCAGAGATGAAGCCTTATCATACACTGACAGGTTTCTCCACTGCTCATCAAAGTACTGGGAAGAGGTAGAGCCACACGCACATGAGAAGAAGGGAGTCAGAAACTGGGCAGAACAACTGCACAGGGATCTCCACACTGGCCCTCATCTCTAAATCCTGCAAACAAGATGGGGAAAAACAGTTTGGGAACTGAAGATAAGGCAGTGGTGACAACTACCACTCCCCTTGACAGGCTGTGTATACAGCATGGGGGATTGGGGCAGACACCTCGCAGATACCTGTGGGACTAAAAGCACTGTCTCCAACCTCAAGTGCTAGCAGCAACTGTGCACTTACAGAGCAGATGCCGCAGTCTGGTGGCAGACCTGCTTGTGATCTGTTCTGCCCTCAAGCCTCCTCTTACCTGTATGAGACCGCATATGTCGCGTCAGATCCTGCAGAGACCAGAAACGCTTGTTGCACACAGTACAGACTTTCTTTCTTTTGTCTGCTTTTGCAGTAATCTTAGCCCCATCAGTCTTTGGTTTTTTGTCATCACTGCTCTTCTCAGTGGACTTTCTCTCTGTGCCTTCCCCCTCAGAGATGCTTTCGCTCTCTTCATTTTCCTTTCCTGTTGCCTCATAGTCCACAGGAGACTCCACTACCTTCAAGTCCATCGGAGACTCTTCCTGCTCAATACCAGAGTCCTGCATCGAGGGAGCTCCTGCATTATCCTGAATGCTTTTGCTTTCATCCTCACTGCTCCTTTCATCCTTTCTGTCCTCACGAATGTGGACCTTTTTGTGACGGCCAAGAGTGCCAGCAAACTTGAAGGTTTTGCCACAAATGTCACAGGCATGTTTCCTTTCAGTCTGAGTACTGCTGCCTGCACTCTGGTCACTCTCTGCCAGCTTGAAGTCCATTAATTTGCTGGCAAAATTGAGGTCAAGACTTTTGTTACTTACAGAATCTTCCTCAGGGCCCTCTTCGTATCCATCCGCTTTTATTTCGGCATCCTGTTCTGCTGGAGGGGAGTCAGCCTTTTGCTCCTTGGGGCCGCACTCACTCGCTGGTAGCTCTGTTATTTCCTCCGGCCGTTCCTTCTCGCAAGAGGTCAGGTCCAAGACTTCATTTCCTGTAGCTAGTGTCTCTGCATCAGACTGGCTGTCTGCAAGCAAACAGAGAGAAACTTTCAGTGGGATGCTCTCTGCTAATTCACAACTACCCGCAGTAAGGCTGCGCAAAGACCCATGAGCATTGCTTCTGGTCAAGACTCACAACATCTGTTTCTCTTATCTGTGACCCAGGCCAACAACTTAAGAGCTGAAGAGAGATCAAACCCCAGAAGCCAATTAACCAGATGATTAAAAATCCATAACAGAAGGCTTTCTTTTCCAAAATACACTCGCATCCTTGTCAGTTTCTTGAAGTAATTTTTAATATAATTGCTTTAACCAGAGAATACAAAATGTTGATACTTAAAATGTTGCTGAACTCAAAAAAGAGTTGATGTCACTACTACTACAGATACACCATTCCAGAGGCATATGAATGTGTTATTTATAAACTTGTGTATGATAAACATTGACACAGATCGAAGTAATATGCATCCACATATTAATCAAACTGATTTATAAGTAGCAGGAAATGCTTTTCAAAGAGAATGCAAAGGCCTCATGCAACCAACTGGTACAATTAAATGTTATAGGTTAGTGTAGATGATGACACAGAGGTCAGTTACAAAAGCAATAGATGCAGAAGTTCATCCACATGTGGGTCTTTGACACACACCAATACATCACCTGGAACCAAAACCTAAAGCCAAGATGCAGTAACAGGCAGCACACTTTGCTGTTTCACAACTACTCCAACAAGAAAACAAAACACCTAAGATGTCCACCTTAATGACCTCCTGTGCTTTGTTAGCATTTTGTAGCATTAATGTTGCTGAGGACATGTGTCCCAAAAATTAGAACAGATAAGGTACTTCAGGAGAACAAAGGGCTAGAGCTGTACCCTTCCTGAGCTCCCTACAAACAGTTAAGTGTAAATAGGAAATAAGCTGGAGTGGATCTGGAGGCCAAAGCTGACAATGATGCAATAGCATATAACTGCATCTCCAGTGCCACTTCCCAGCAAATGTTCCAGCACATGAACTTTGCAAGCTGTATTTTCTACAAGTTGAAACTTTTCTTGCTTTAATTCCTCCACCTCATTCTTGTTGACAGCATGCAGCTAAGGGAGCAACACAACCTACCCAGCATTTCAGCATTCATCTGCAGCGCAATAGCTGCTGAGTAACTACAGGGATTTAGAAACTTCAGTAGAGCAGTTTAAGTTCTCCATCTGACACAGAACAGCTTGTGCTTGCCTCCAAATTACCTAGATTTCCTACTGCAGGCTTTTTTCATAAACAAGAATTACAGAAGGTAAGATAGTCCTCAGGCATTTGGTACTTTGAATGCAGTCTTGCAACATGACTTGCATCGAGCCATCTCCTTGCACAAGTGATATAAATGGCCATTAAATAAATGTCAAAGCTTAGCAGCATTTCCAGTAATCATGAACAATCACTCAATAGAACATAATCCTCAGTATGCTTTTTCTTGGGGAAGAAGTGACTTGTCAAAAAATATAATCTCACCTTTTAATCAAAACAGATCCGTTTACATAGAGAGTGGATTGCACAAAAGCTTTCCACAAAGTCCAGCACTCATCTCATTATCAGCCCATTAAAACATGCAACCGAGCCATAATCTGTGTATAACGCTGGAGAATTCGAGGATGTGGGCATCTGAAAACAAAGGTCACCTACAAGTGCCCTATGAATCTCCATGTGAATTCTGTGTTTTGGCTTGCTGTCTCTTAGCTACAGTAAGGCCAAAAAAAAAGGATGAAAAAAAAAAGCTATTATAAACAAAGAGTGGTCACTTCTAAAAACCAAACTGAAATGCTGATGCATAATAATTAAGAGGAAGCACTGCTCCACAACCCCAAGAAACAGAAGCCAGGCGTGTATGAGAAACCAGGCCCTTGCATGGTTCTCCTCGTTACAAGCAGCTAGCTGGGTCTCACAGCTGCTGGCACAGGCAAGGGAGGGAGCCCAGAAGCCAACCCCAGGCCATATCTACACACGGGAGTTGTTTAAAATGGAAGCACAGCTATGAGCCTGCTGCCTTCTTCCACCGTGTTTGGGGGCAGGATGAGCACATCTGGCTCTCATGGGCAGCACCTCATCTTTGCCCAAGAGGGGGGATGAAAGCAAGGATTAATGGCAACTGATGTGACTCCCTGCTACTGCTGGAAGGGTCCTTGTCCTTCCTTGCTACCCACTCCCTAGCATTCACACAGGGTCTTTTTCACCAGAGCACAGGTTTCTGCTGGACCAAAGCAACCCCATAATCACCGCTCCCTTTAGGTAGGAGGGAAGGGAAACAACAGTTAAGAGGAGTGGAAGCTTCCCCAGCTGCCTTTGGTTGCTACCATCACAAAGACCTATCTGCGCATGATAGACAGACAAACCCTAAGTGGCCAAGTGGCTCTGAGGCACAAAGACCTTGATGTGACACCAAAATAAAGTGCCTAGAACAGCTCCTGTATCCCTGCCATCAGTGCTCATCCACAGTGAAGTGTGGGGCACCTCCTAACAGGCATGGGCCACCGTCCCATCCCCACTGAGGCCAGGAAACACCTCCCCAGAGGGATGTGTGTCAGGCCAAGGAAAGATTGCAAGCACAGCACAGAGGGGTCATTAGGGAGCAGGGCAGGAAACCATGTGAGCTCTGTTGGGATGGAGAAGAGTGAAGAGCAAAAGAAGACAGAGATGGAGAGAGTTCCCCTTCTAGTGTACCCAGAGAGATGTTCTGTAACTCTTTGCTGGCCAAACTGAAAACAGCAGATGCAGAATAAGTTGTGTTTTCAACAGGAAGTATCAGGAGCAAAGTGAACAAGCAGAATATACACTGGTAGCACTCAAATAAGAGCAAGCCAAAACCACAATGTCTTTAAACTCTCAACTGCAGAAGTCCCAACTTTTACATTCAGCATGTATATCATGTATGATTTGCAAATTTCCCCTTAATTTTCTGTAACTTTTTCTTCTTCTGCTTCCAGTATTTAAAAAAATACATTATTTTTCTTATAGTACACTCATCCTTCAGTGAATCATACCCAAGCTCTATCTCCTTTTTTCCTCTCCTCTCTGCCCTGAGTCCTTTCCCAGCTGTTACTCTGTTCTTGCGCGGCTGGCGTGAAATTACATTTTCCTGTGCACCAAGGGATAGGTGGGATACGTTGTCCACAGGTAAGTTATGCTGCCTTACTAGCACAACAAACAGATGAGGCTAACATCAAGAAAAGCAAACATGATGTTTGAACAACTTCACAAAGGGCAAAGACCACTTCAGACCCCGGGAACACAGATGCACGCAGGCTTTCTCTTCTGAAGCTGGCCTGCCATCCCCGAATGACCACATTCAAGCTCAGGTAGCGACGCAGCCAGGAACGTGCTGACACATGTACGTGCTTCGGTGAGCGCTCTTCCTTCTTACCTGCACAAACCAGACCTACTGTTTTCTCTGCCGAGTTTTACAGGCCCCTATGAAGCCTCATGCATACCGTGGGGTGGCAGCTCCTGACTAGCTGAGCTGCTCTGTGGCTACCCCCAACCTGTGCGGTTGGTTTTGCAGCTGGTGAAGAAGCAAGCTGCTCTGCACAAGCCCCAGCTGTTTGGGATGCGTGAGAATTTGCCCAGCTCTCCTGCAGATGAACTGGAATATCAGCAGGGGAGCCGGGAAGGTGTGTGGGAAACATGACACTTGCCAAGGCAGCTGTGTCAGGTCTCGTGTGGGATTTCTCCTGCAGTGCAAGGGATGGCTGCACTGGCAGCCACTCCATCCACTCCAGCAGAAGTTAGGCTTGGCTACACTACTGTTTTTTCTCTGCTTACATGCCTATCTGCACCAACGAAAACCTCACTGGCCGTACGATTCCAGCAGGCTTGTATCTTACACAAAGAGGAGGATTCTGACTGTGCCTTCAGATCTGGGCAAACATTGCTCCAGCAAGGCCATGTTCCTCTCAGAAGGGTAATTCCCATTTCCAGAATTTTCCTGATTTATAGTGCAGAGCAGCCACTTGCATCCAAGCGATGAGGAAGGCAGGGCGCATGGGAAAGGCCTGCCTTTCTTTCACCCCTTTCCCATCTTTCACTTACTGAAGCTGTAAAATGCTTTCCAGTCCATTTGTTATCCCACAGATACTTACACTCAGAGAGTCAAGAGGACAAGAGTGGAGAGGTCTGCTTGCCAAGGCTCCCACCACCACCACCTCTTCAGCAACCGTGGGAGCAGAACACATTACCTTGTCACAGACAACCAGAGTTTGTGTCATTCCTCCAAAGGGAAGATCAGAGGGTGACACCATTTGATGATGTCATTTCTGACACCAGAGTCAAAGAACATGGGCAAGGTAAGGTCAAGAGAGGAGATAAGCAGGGAGGTAGGGATGTACGGAGGAAGGTAACAACAACCACCAGTAGCTCAGCTGCTGCCTTGTCAGCTCCTGGGAAAAAATGAACTTCTCAGGAGATATATTCATAAGCAAAACCTCAAGGACTCCAACTGAGAATCCAGAAACTTTTTTGCTTGCATGAAAGAAACCACTATATAGTTGTAGCCAAAATCATTTTTCCTTCAAACTCTGGAAAGACTGCTTTGCTGAAGTCCATTTACAGTTCAGGTTGCCGTTTCCAGTCAGCCTAGCTGGAAGAGTCTGCTTAATTTTTTATAGGTGGCAAGAAAGAAAAAGAGAAGTAAACTGCTTTCTTGCAAACACAAACCGAACTAGCAAGAGAGACATGAAATGTGGAAAGTTTCAGATAAAAGAGCAGATACAGATCAAGGTGGGGAGGTTGCTGGTTTCATTCTGTGTTCCTATGGTTTTCTTTCCCTCCTGGAACTAAGGTGGAATAGAGTAGAGCTTGAGATGCTAAGGAGTTATAAGAAAAAATGAGGTGTTATAACAGAAACTATTTTGTGATTAGAGCAAGTGTTTATTGCCAAACACTCCTGCATCCTGAGAGAAGTGCTAGAAAGCCCATTACCTAAATAATGCTCAAAACTGGAGCAGACAGAGCACTGGAAATGGATGTTGTACAAGCAGTCGGCA